TGCGGATCGCGTCTGGCCGCCGTACCCTTAAGAGCGCCCATGTGTTTTTGCAGGCTAGGATCCATACAAGAACTACCTGTTAACTGGGCCAGGACATGCATGGTCAACCAGTCAACCACTCTTGTCAGAGAGAACAGGTTAACCATTCTGGATTGCGAGATGATCGAGCAACACACAATTCCTCTCCCTGCTGGTTGCTGATGAATGCAAAGAACAGGTATAAGAGGGCACGAAGAATCTAGTGCCACATCTTCTGATGAAATGCCCTCATCCGTTGGATTCCGCTGTCTATGTGTCCTAATCAGTTGGTTAAGAAATTAGATTTGTATATTGTGTCGGACTTGTATTCTCATGAGCCATTAGACACCACTAATATTGGGCAACACCGAAGGCTACACTATGAATTAGAAGCTTGCGTTGATATCTCCAAAATTTAGTAAAAAAGATTGTAATTTTTTAGAACTGTTTAAATGTAAAGAAGCTATTATTTTTCTCATTACCACGGTCAGATCAGTATGTAGGCCCTATGTATCAGAAGCCTTAGTCTAGAAATAATAGCTCATGTTTACACCTTAAAACTTTAGTAAAATTGAAAAAAAAATAGAAATAACTTGATTAATGAATCTCTTATGAAATCCCATACTTTTTCGGTAAATCTATTTGTTGCTTGAGTGTTTTTCTTTCTCCACGCGCTCGATTAGTTTTGTGGTTGGATGAATTTACTATGAATTTTCAAAGTTTAAATTATTTTCAGAAAAAGAAAAAGAGGGGATTAACCTAGGGATGACACATGTCAGCTTGCGATTGGTCGGTTGAGCATGAGTCATTGACAGGTGGGGTCCAGAGGCTGGTGACGGACAGGTGGCCGAGGGACTTGACTGGGCCTCATGGGCCGGGTCATGGGGTAGATTTGGGTGAGGTTGGGCTGGTTTGGGCCGGGGCGGCCCGAACACGTGTCGAGCTCAGGGGTTGGCCATGTGGCCTAGCCGGCTCCACAACGGGCCGCGTCCATGGGATGGGCGCACGGTCGACCAGGGATCTAGTGCACCGTGGACCACCTCTTGGTCTATGGTGGACCGGGTCTACGTGGGCACTGGTGCGTGGGGTGCACAGTGCACCCGGTGCACGCGGTGGCGAGCAGGAAGGGGTGCCGACTTCACTGCTGTGTCGGAGGGGGCTCGCCGGTAGCTAAGGACACGGCAGGGCTCCGGCGGGGTCCTACGGGCTCCCTGGCCCTTGCCGCTCTCCTCTACGGCGATGCAAGGCCAAAAAGGTAGCGCGGTGGTCATGATGGGGCGGCGGTGTGTGCGGCCAAGGTTTAAGGTGTGCTTCTAAGCTCCGGTGAGGCTGCCTAGGGGCTCCTAGTGCTCCTGCGACTACGATGGGGGCAAAAGGCGAGGCCTTAGGCCTTGGCGGGTCTAGGTACGGCGGTGGTAGGTATGGTGGTGCCGCTGCTCGTGCGGCTGCACTCGGTAGCGCAACACCAAGTCAAGGGCTTAGCGCGCTTAGGTTCTTGGGGTGCCAAGGAGGGCGGTGCCGACGACCATTGTGCACGATGGAGTCCTCTCGGCGGACAAACGCTCGGTGGAGCTCCGGTGATGGCACAGCTCCGACGGTGATGGGTCTCGGGTTAGCTATGGTTTCAACCATCTAGATGGCAGGGTTCACGTGGTCACGGCAGACACGGTCGACCGGTCCTCGGCTAGCGAGGCAGTCGAATTTGTTGGGAACGCGTCCCGCAAGGCGACGCCATGAGTGCGCATGCTCGTCGGCGGCGCGAACACGTTCAGCGGCTCCAAGGGCTCTAGCTTGTGTGACCTAGGGCTACCCGAAGCTCTCGGCGTGGCGGAGCTCACTGCGGGGTCGCGGATACCTCTACCGGCTCAGCTTGGGTAGAACGACCCTCGCCATGGCCCTGCTATGGCCATGGTGAGTGCGCACGGGGGCGGTGTAGTGGCACCAGCATTTCCGAGCACCACGGCTCGGCAAGGTTGTGCCTTGGCTTCGGGCAGGTGTGCGTGTGTGCGTGGTGCATGGTAACGGCCAAAAGGTGCGACCTTGGGCCTCCTAGGTGGGGAGACCACATCGGTGGCCATGGCGGGTGCACACAGCGGTGAGCAGAGAGGGTTGGCAAGGCTCAACGTGGTGGCAATGGCGATAGTTTAGCGGTGCAGTGACGAGGCAAGGCTGTGGCGAGTCAGAGCAGTGCATGGAGACCCGCAACATCGGTGTAGTCAATCGGGGTGGTGACCACGGCGGTGCTCGGGCGACCACGATGCTCCTCCTTCTTCCTTCTCCCTCCCTCTTGGTCTTGGTGTGGGTGGTTTGGAGTGCCACAAATGGTGGCGGGGCGTGGGAAGATCGCTAGGGTTCCTAGGCTTCCCCTTTATAGCCGGGCGCGGCCATGGCGAGGCAGCGGACGGCGGGGAGAGGCAGAGGGGGTACGTGTAGGGCGGATAGGGCACTAGGGCTTGGGTTTTGGGTGAACGGGGAGCTCGCGCGGCCGTTGGTGCTTCCAATTTGGTGCGGTGGCTGGTCAAGAGGAAGGACAGGGCGGTGGCGTCAGCGGCGTGGCAATCACGACAGCGATGTCACGGCTGGGCTGGTGTAGGCGGGGAGGATCATGGACGTGGCGTCCATGGGCGGGGCGCATTCGAACGGCTCGAGCGCGGATGGCTCGGATGGTGCGGGTGCTCCTCGGTGAGCGCGGGAAAGCAGAGAGGGGGGAAAAGCAGAGGAAAGGGGGGCGGAGGGGATGACAGGCGGGTCCCACGGGCCCACTTGTCGGCGACGGGTGAGAAAGGGGAATGGGGGCGCGGTGAAGGCGTAACCGGTGCGGGGTGCCTTCGTCTGCGGGTGGACGCGGGCATGGCTAGCTGGGCCAGCGGGAGCACGCGGGTAGGATGGGCCGGCTGAGGTTGCTGGGTTGCTTCCTTCCTCCTCTTTCTTTTTCTATTTTCTAATCCCTAACCTTATAATACATGTATACTCCCCAGTGGAGTCCACCTAGGTCACCTTAAGATCTTGGGGTCAAGCCAAGGGTTTGGGTCCTCACACACAAGCATTCATTTTAGAAATTGATTATGTTTTAATTATCCACACATAAAAATAAGAAGAAGCAACTCAGAGTTGGATTAATGCAGAAGCTCAATCATCTATAAGTAGGTGCTACTAGTGCAACTAGGGTGGTTTCCTAGCATGCATCACTGATCATCACACAAGGGTTTCTAGAAAAGTTTTTGAAAGTTGGGATTTTTAGGTTATTCCATAATCTGACATTGAATAACTTTTTTGGTTCATTTGATATGCATCCAATGGTCATGACAATCGAGTGTTGCATGGATAAAAAAGAGTGAAATACACTGGCGGCCCTTTAACTTGTCGTCCTGTGCCAGTCCGGTCCACGAACTTGCAAACGCGAAAAATGGGCCTCGAGCTTGTTAAGTTGTTCACCGCAGGTCCATTTCCCATTCGGCGTGGCCTCCAGGCAACGTGGCAGCGCCAGCGTGGCGGACGAAGCACGTTAGCCGCACGTTTCAATACCGAACGCGGCGGGGTGGCGGTGCGTCCACACTGTTTGGTGGACCGGGAGGCGCGAGACGCGGCGGCGCCCATGATCGGCAACGGCGAGCTCGGCGGGGTGGCGCTGTGGAGCGCTAGCGCCTGTGCGGGTTACATGGGGGTGGAGAGCGCGACAAGGCGAACTCGCCTAGGACATTCCCCGTGGTGGAGGACGTCCGGAGGCGGCGGTATGTGCGGCGAGGCGGCTCGGCCGGGGCGGCGCAGCTCCGACGAGCCAGAGTGACGCGCAGACAGGGAGAGGAAGAGCGCTGGAGCACTGGAGGGTGCCTTAGCACGCCCCGAAGTTCGTCGACAAGCTCGCGTCTGCTGGAAAGCGGCAGAGGAGGAGATCGACGGTGGCGGCGGCGCTGCTAGCGTGGGATGAGGCGGCGGCGCCTGTAGAGCGAGAGAGGGAGCACGGGGAGAAGCGGAGTGAGTGCGGAGTGCTCACGCGACACTCTGGGCACCATTTTAGAGGGAGAGAGAGAGAGACCACGGGAGGAGAGGAAAGGCCGGTCAAGAAGCTCGGCTCCATGCCGACAATGGCGGATCTCTGACTCGGCGCTGCGGGATGAGTCGGCTCAGGGAGAGGGGCTGCGGCGCGTAGAAAGGGTCCGCGTGGGGTGCTCGGTCGTGCAGGGGACGCGGGAGAAGGGCGCGGCCAGGCGTGGTCCAAGCGCTGCCGGCGACGGCGTTCGTCCCATGTGGAGCGGGAGGTAGGGGGCGACCCTGACGTGAGGGGCCTACATTGAAACGTGAGGCTCACGTGCTTCGTCCGCCATGCTGATACTGCCACGTCACCTGGAGGCCGCGCCGGATGGGAAATGGACCTACGGTGAACAACTTGACAAGTTCAGGGACCCATTTTCCGTTTGTAAGTTTGTGGACCGGACTGGCACAGGCCGACAAGTTAAAGGGCCGTCGGTGTATTTCACTCGATAAGAAAACACCCGATTTCGGTTTCTGTTGTCAATCGGGTGTTCATGGGTCATCCACCTCTCGGGTGTCACCTGCCCCTAAAACACTCAGGCGGTGAGTCTTGATGTGTGTGGACGATGTGTGGTTGCTTATTGTGGGCAACATTGAGAAAGCCAAGACGACACAAAATAAAGAACGTAAATTCTCATCATACTGAAAAGTCTTCCGATCCTACTAGGGAAACAAATGTTGACCTCTGCCAGCTGTTGTTTGCGCTGCATTTCACCATCCACGGAAGACTGCAGGAAACTACTATACATTGTTAGTGTGTGTGTGTAATGGGATCGCAGTTCGTAAGAAAATGGAATTTGTACACTGTCACCAGAAAAGTACACTGTCATCTAGTTCTGGTGATAAGAAACACAGGAAACGCATGGGATTTGACTGGACCGTCCTCTAGAATTCCTACAAGTAAAGCATACAGCCACACACAGGGCAGCATTAGCCAAGACGCGCGCAACATGGCAATGGCAGCTGCTCTCCCGCTCATCTCCTTCCTCCTCATCGTCGTCGCCGCCACCGCCACGTCTGCAGGCTCGGCGGCCACCATATTCCCCAGAGAAGCCCTGCCGACCAAGCCCGGCTACCTCCCGATCCCCGTGGACAATGCATCTCTCTACTACGCCTTCTACGAGGCCACTAGCCCGCTGACCCCGCTGGCCTCCACGCCGCTCCTCGTCTGGCTCGAGGGCGGACCCGGCTACTCCTCCTTCGTCAGCAACTTCTTCCAGATCGGCCCCTACGTCTTCCCCATCGCCACCGGCAGCGCCAGCAGCTCCAACACATCCTCCTCCGCTTCCGCGTTCCCCTTGTCGCCCAACCCCTACGCGTGCAACCGCCGCTTCGGGCTCCTCTTCCTCGAGAGCCCGCTCGGCACGGGCTACAGCCCAGCGCCGTCACCCTCCGCCATCCCCACGTCCCAGCCCGTCGTCGCGGAGCACGTCCTCGCGGCGCTCCGGTCCTTCCTCTCGTCCCAGTCGCCGTCCTTCCGCGCCCGCCCGCTCTTCCTCACCGGCGAGAGCTACGCCGGCAAGACCATCCCCACTGTCGGCGCGCTCATCCTGGCCACCAACCCGGCTCTCCCCCAACGACAGAGGATCAACCTGCGCGGCGTGGCCATCAGCAACGGCTTCGTGCACCCTGTGGCGCAGGTGACGACGCACGTCAACGTCCTCTACTCCGCGGGCCTCATCGGCGCGAAGCAGCGGCGTGAAGCCGAGGCGCTGCAGGCGGAGGCGGTGGCGCTGGCCATCGTGGAGCGGTGTCGCGAGGCGGCGGACTCGCGCGAGCGCGTGCTGTCGTGGCTGAGAAACGCCACGGGGCTGTCCTCTCTGTTCGACGTGGCGGTGGACACGCCCCGGGAGGCCCTGGCCGCCGGCGCCGCCGAGAAAATGTTGACCACACAGACAAATGGCTGCTAATAATCTCCAATTAAGCAGGGCGTATACACAAATGATTCACAAATGCCATGATTGTTACCAGATAGGTAAATACTGAACCCTTGGGCTGTTCAAATGAAAAGCCACCGCATAACCGTGGCTACACAAGAATATAACCTCCTTGAATGGATGAAATCCAAGGAATTTGACATATGGGAGAACCTCCTCTTTGTCATCTGAAACAACTATGTTGTCGTCGTCGGAGTTCCAACAAACATTTTGTTCTACTAGTGATACGTCTTGGTTCTTCCTTCCATCATCGTGATCTAAAATCCAATATTTCGGTTCATCGAACTTATTGTTCTCCATCCGCCATGAGTATGTATATTGATCTTGAGGTTCCTTTGATCCTTCGGCACCCACTCCATCTGGTCACCGGATTCGCTGAGAGTCCAAACTCAAAGTTTGGCCAAAGCACCACTACCAATAGCTGCAATGTACACCCCCTTTTCGGATCTACCTAGATAAGATTGTACACCATCATTCTTGCACACGGCAAGTTGTAGTGGCGATTTGATCACTCTGTACTTACCATCCAGCAAGGATAATCTGCAAAATAACACACATACATATATATATAGATAGATAGATAGGAAAATTTACTATATCTATCGATGTTTGGAATAGTGGAGTGAGATTTATTTATTTACCTCGATACAAATTCACCACGCCAGTGTATGTAGAGTGCACTCTTCCAGTACGCAGCATAGCGGCATGGGAGCTCGACATGGAAGCCCCATTTGTCTTCGTACAGCAGCAAGTCCCCAGCTGTCACTGCCGCCTCGAACTACGTAAAAAATGGTTTGTAGCAACGGAACAAATTTTTTGTAGGAACGGGCGTGCTAGAGAGCCCAGAGATCAGCCGCCCCAACAAATAAAACAGCAGAGGGCGACTGGTCATACAAGCCGCCCCTACAAATGGGTCGGATTTGTAGGGACGGCTCACTCACCAACCACCCCCGGTATTGCTATTTGTAGGGGCGGCTCAATCACTAGCCGCCCCTACAAATGACCTACATATAAAGCAAACTGCAGCATATTCTTTCTCCTCGGGTCACTCACTCCAACCCGTGAAAGAAAGGTGGAGAGGCCTTGGACACCTTCTAAAAATTGCTCTACTAAGGGGAGAAGGTTTTTGTCTTAAATCCTTTGGTGGAGAGGTTGTAGACGGTAAGAAAATGCTATTCCACATTTTTTTTGAAGTTTTAATGGTTGGTTAGTGAGTAATTAGAGTTTTGATTTTCTCTCTCTTCTATGGTGCTTAAGCTACTTATGAAGCAAATTAGACCCAAGTTTTGAATGTACTAGGGCAAATTAGGGAGGTGAACAAGATCATACCCTTATTTGGTCCATGTTTTTTATTTTAGTGAACAATTAGTTTGTTTTATGGATGTTTCATGTGCATGTAGATCTAGATCAAGGGTTTGGTTTTTTTATTAATTTCGGTTTTGTAAATTTGTGTTTGATGAAATTAGACTAGGGTTTGCATGAAAGATATTAGGTAAAATATAATTGTTGCTAATTGTTGTTTTTGAAATTATTTATTGTAATCAACAAATATGTATTTTAATTATTTATGGATAAATGTACCATTAATTAATTTTCTTCTACCATGGTGTGTTTGTATGCTTCATGTAATTATATTTGATTTATATTCATATATATCTGAAGTATATATAATTATTCTCAAGTAATTATTAATTTGATTCATTTTTATATATATCTGAATAAGTAGTCATTTATGTTTGTTTTGTTGTTGTTGTAAAAGATGGAGTACAGGAACTCTTGGATGTATGGTTCCTTAAGGTTCAAAGTAGGTTTCCGTGAAGAGGTGGATAAATTTATTGAGGCCGCAAATAAGCATGCAACGACATTGACAGAGAATAAGGATGCAATTATTTATCCCTGTAAAGATTGCAAGAACTGTATGGCATGGACAGATGTGACTATCATAAGATCAAATTTGATTATGCGAGGATTTGTTGAGGACTACACAGTGTAGATTCATCGGTGAAACGGTTATTGTTAACGACAAGGATGAGGAGAAATACGATGACGAAACCATAGAATCTCTGTCCCAATATTCAGCAGAGCTTGATGCAAGAATGGATTCGGAGTTTGGCAATGAACAAGGTGGTGATACTGGTGGTTGGGATGGTAACGACAAAGGTGGTGCCAATAATGATGGTGGAGCACGTGTCAGGGATGAAGATGATTTGGAGGACATGATTCAAGCCATTGGACCAGAGATTTTACTAAATAGCCTGAAAGGTCTAGAAAATTTGGAAAGGGTGACAAAAACATCAAATGAGACTGTATATGGTGTTGAAAAGGGCTGTCCGACACATTGGACATTGCTATGTTTTGTGCTTGAACTACTCATCCTGAAGGCTAAGTACGGCTGGTCAGACTATAGTTTCAATGATCTATTGCATCTCCTGTCATGGGTACTACCACAACCAAACTCAGTTCCCGCCAACACATACCAAGCGAAGAAGGTCATAAGTCTATTGACAATGGGGATTGAAAAAAATCCATGCATGCCCCAACCACTGTATACTTTTTCGTGGCGAAACGTTCAAGTCACTGGATAAATGTCCCCGGTGTGGGGCCAGCCGGTACAAGAACAATGACCTTTATGGTGGGGATGAAGCCTCCATGGGGAAAAAGAGAAATAAGATGGGTACAAAAAAGGTGGTATAAGAATCTCAGCCCCTAGAGGACACTCCATTAGGCAACGATGCAAAGGTGGTAAAGAATTCATGCCTTGGTAATGTGGTACCTGCCAGTGACCGACCGCTTGAGACGTATCTTCCTAAACCCTAAAGAAGCCGCACTCATGACATGGTGGGATGATGAGCGCAAGGTGGATGATGATAAGATTGCACACCCCGCTGATTGTAGTCAGTGGCAAAGGTTCGATGAGAAGCACAAAGAATTCAGCGATGACCCAAGGAATATACGGTTTGGCTTGAGCACCGATGGAATGAATCCCTTCAATGAGAGGATGAGCGACCACAGCACTTGGCCAGTCATCTTGACCATGTACAACATCCCAATGTGGTTGTGTTAGAAGAGAAAGTACCTTCTCCTCACTATTCTTATTTCTAGCCCTAAACAACCAGGCATTGATATAGACGTGTTCCTCGAGCCTTTGATGCAAGAAATGGAGAGACTATGGAGGCATGGGGAGCCGATGTACGATGCATTCTGAAAGGAGGACTTCATATGTAGAGCAATAATATTTGTTACTACCAATGATTACCCCGCGTTGTTTGCTTTGTCTGGACAGATCAAAGGGAAGATGGGATGCTTGGTTTGCTTAGATGGTACTACATGGGTGTACCTGGATGCATCCAAGAAGATAGTTTACCTAAGGAACCGACGCTTCTTAAAGACAAGTCATAAGTACCGCAGCAAATTGTTCTTTAGATTTTATGACAACACCCCGGAGATTGAACCCCCTCCGGAGAGACGTCATAATAGAGAACACGTGTATAGAATGGTGAAAAACATACGCGTCATCTATGGAAAGAAGAATCCGGATGGGACGAACAGAGATAGAAGCACACCTCCTGTCGAAGGCGTACCTTTCAAGAAACAATTGATCTTCTTTTAGTATCTGCCTTATTGACCAGACTTGGAGGTCCTCGATGCCATTGATGCTATGCACGTGCAGAAGAATGTCTTTGAGAGTCTCATTGCTACCTTGATGGACACAGGCAAGTCAAAGGATGGTGTGAAAGCACGGAAAGACATGGTGCAGCTAAACATGATGCCACAGCTTCACCCGGTACCTGAGGCTAATGGAAAATACACTCTGCCCGTGGCGTGCTTCAACCTAACACCAGACGAGAAGAGAGATATATGCACTTTCCTGAGGGGGGTCAAAGTCCCCACTAGGTTTTTAGCAAATGTGAAGAAGCTAGTGTCGATGAAGGACTTGTCAATAACACACTGCAAGGCTCATGATTGTCATGTGATGCTGACAGTGTTTCTACCTATTGCAATCAGGGCTATAAAGCCAGAGTTCTTGAAAATGGCCATCATCCGCATGTGCTACTTCTTTTCGAAGATCTCACAGAAGACGATTGGCAAGCAAGAGCTGAGTGACCTACATGAATTTATGGTGGAGACACAAAACCAACTAGAGATGTGTTTACCTCCTACTTTTTTTGATATAATGCCACATCTCATGATTCACATAGTTCATCAGATACAGGCGCTAGGCCCTTACTACTTGCATGAAATGTGGTCCTATGAGCGGTTCATGTCAGTTCTAAGTCGATACGTGCATAATCGAGCATACCAAGAGGGCTCCATGATAGAGTGTTACAGCACTGAAGAAGTCGTCGAGTGCTGTCAAAAGTACCAAAAAGTACAGAAAGAGATTGGTAAACCCGATTCTCGTCACAAGGGTAAGCTGGCTGGGAAGGGCACCAGTGGTAGAAAAGTGTTCATCGACCATAATTACAAAGAGGTGAGTCGGGCGCATTACAGTGTCTTGCAGAGTACACAACTGATGCAACCGTACATTGATGAACACTTGGCTATCATTATGGCGGAGAGAAATGGTCATTCGGATGATTGGGTCATGAAACAACACTAGCAACGACTAACTACATGGTTGAAGGACCAAAACATACCGCCTAGAGAAACCATAGACTCTATTACCATCAGTAGGTTGGCGGAGGGGCCATCGAGACAAGTGACATCTTAGAATGCTTATGACATCAATGGGTATACGTACTATACCCACGCAAAGGATAGTAAATATGTGAACCAAAACAACAGCGTTCGAATAGAGGCTCTCGATGGATTGGGGCGAAAGATCCAATACTTTGGCATCATTGAAGAGATATGGGAACTTGACTATGAAAGGGATATAATGGTGGCCCTCTTTCGATGCCGCTGGATCAAACAACACCAACTGAACGAGATCAGATTGAGAGTCCTGGACCTCGAGAATCTAAGCTACCAAG